AATAACAATAACAATAACAATAATAATAATAATAATATCAATAACAATAATAATAATAATAATAATAATAATAATAATAATAATAATAATAAATGAATATTTTTTATATAACAACCACACTAATACTCCTACTCCTAATAGTAATAATAATTATAATAACAATACCAAATGATGATTTACAGTGCAGTGTACCACTAAGTTCTGGAAAACTACATGGTAATATTATAAAAAAACATATTTTTCACAAAAGCATATCAATTAGGGCATTAAGAAAATTCATGAAAAGCAAATTGAGTTCATTTTATTTAAGAAAAACAATAATCCAGATCTGTATAGGTTTAACCATCCTCTGCAATGATGCATCACTCATCGGTTATATGCAATTTGTCAATAATTAAGATCACTCACATCTGCAGTAAATTAAGCACCAGGAGGTTAGTGCAAATCCCAAGACCAAGGATTTCATATAACCTACATGAAATCAACTTCTCTATAATCACTGCTTTTCTATTATTTTAATTATGAATTTTCTAATTGTTAACCCATAGGTGCTGGGTACACGTACCTTCCACTGCAGTTTTATTTTGTGCCTTTTGTTTGCGTGTAGATGGCTTCACAAGTGCTCAGCCATCAAGGAGTCAATTAGTAGGCCCTTTGTGATCTCACTTGATCTCCCCCTTCCAAGAATGCTATTAATATTATTATTGACATTATAATTACTATAATGTATCTGAAATACTAACAGTAATAATTTTTTTTTTTTAATCTTTCCAAAAATCACAAAAAAGGATAAAACAAGGGAGAGAAGTAGAACTAGCAGCCACAATTAATGAGCTAAAAGCCCTGCCATGCCACTTTAGTATTAATATTACTGAACTACAATGCAGAGATCAAGCCTCTTCTTTCCTTTATCCAATTAAGCTTATCACAGCCATCATTACTTACACCTAAATTATCTTAATTTCTCACAGCCACAATTACACCATATTTCTTCTAGTTCAGCAACCAGTTCTGCTTGTATTACTACTGTTCAGCCTACAATTTTACACTCATTCTTTAGTTGATATCCTTATCAATTTGATTAACATTAAACTCACATATTTTTTTATTCATACATAATTTCAGAGAACAGAAAAAAAGAGAAAACACAAAACAAAACCTATACAATCTTAAGTGTAAACTACAGAGGACATCTCTGTAGCAAATAATTACAGAAAGAACAACAATAATGCAAACAATTCATGACACTCATACTGCTGGTTTGTTTGTCTGCTTCTGATTGTGCTGCTGCAATTTAGCTGAAGTGAAGTAGTCAAATTTCTGAGGCATGAACTTCATTTCTTAAGGATAGGAATTCAATGGTAACACAGACCTTACAGAAGGGTGGCTCCCTTTCACTATTGCCAGACACTAATATTCCTGTGATGAGCAAGGGGTAAGGTGTACCAAGACGGTAAAGTGCTTTTACTGCCCTCCACTCTGTAATGAATGTGATCTTTAATCATTTAAACTAAGAGTGTCCCATCAAATCCATTCCTTCTGCGAGTCTGTAAGGCATTAATTAAAACCACAACTTCTTGAGGGAATACAAAGTGTTGAAAATCAGAGTAATAATGTCCTTGTTTTGAACAACTTCCTATAACTTAACAGTAGTGAGATTAAAAGAAAAACCTCTGTAACTCTACATCCAGTAAAAAAGGGTCACCTGCATAGATGCAGTACCATGCATCTGAGAGGCCATCCCAGCCATTCAGTAAAACAATCCAATATAGTTTTATTACTATCTACTCAGTATAAATCTGTGAGCTAAAAAGGCTAATTTGGGGAGTCTTTGGTATCAAGGAACATGTTAAGTCTCATATACCCTATTCATCATTAGGGCACTTTATAGTCTAAAAAATGAAAATGTAAGGCAATGATTACATTTCATTATGATTGGAAATAAACATCTCTATATGGCACCCCTATACATAATTTAACAAGTCAATAATGCTAAATTTAGAACTGCTTGTCCAGTTTGGATACACGACTTGGCAACTCAGAGGGACTAGTTCTCCATGCTCAAAGTCTTCATCCAGTTATCCCCAACATTCTCAGCAAGTAAACAAACATGGCACATGTCATAGTCTATTTTTTATGTAATTTTCTCTTAATGTGGAATTCCATGCTGAAAATAGCTATGGACTTACCCAAGTTAACTGTTTACAAGCCAAGAACTGCTGCACATACAGGTCATTTTAATGCATATGTGTTTTCACATATATCAACTGCAAGAAGATAAATTACAATCTGTTCAGCCTATTGAAATATGAAAACAGTTGAATGGCAATTATGTTACAGGTTTGATTACACAAGCCATTATATTGTAACATCAACTTTCTTCTTTGCTACCAAATAAGCCATACTCATTAAATGTGTTCTATCAAGGTCAAATTTGACAACTGGAGAAGCTGAACATAGTCCCAACTGTATTCTCTGACTAGTTTGTTCATCTGTCTACACAGGACAAACAGTTCTGAACACTGCATGAGTGTGTGAACATTAAATTTTGTTTTGGGGAATGAACAAATATAAAGCATCTGTATTGTATACAGCTTTCTAAAACAGTATGACTAAATGAAAACCTTTTGCCTATAACAAACTTCCCTATTTTTATCTAACAAAGCAAAAACATCTTTGAAAAAAAACAGCCCAAAATGTTTGAAATATTAAAATACATAAAATAAAAGAGTACAATCCACAGAAAAAAATTATACACATCAACACATACAATGTCAATAGGAAAACCACTCTTCATACTTTAACAACAGCCTTGCCAATGTTATCTCCTGAGAAAAGACCAATGAATGCTTCAGGCATTTTCTGAAATCCATCATACACTGTCTCTCTATACTTAATTTTGCCCTGAAAAAGAAAAAAATAGTGTATATTATGTGTCTATTTTTAAATATCTGCTGGCTTCCTTTTTTCAGACTGCAAGAGAACAGTTTGCACAGATTCAAATCAATGAAAAGCCAACATTTTTTTCACCTGCTGATAATACAAATATACAAACTAACCTGCAGAACCCACTCCTTCATCTGTTCTAACCCTTGAGTCCAGTCTGACCAGCGGTTGACATTGAGACCTTCAATGTGAAGTTTCTTAGCTTTCACAACAGGATCACAGTATGGATCTAGAACATGAAATAATAATATGTAAGTCAAAAATATATCTATTTTCTCTTTTTCTTTCACTGCATAAGATAAAACAGAGGACCTGTACCTGTGTCATGATCATCAGTGTAGTTTGAAATTGACCCACACACTGCCACTCTCCCATAATCAGCCATGTGAGGTAGTGCTTCAGCAGTAAATTTTCCACCAACCTGAAGAAAGAAGGAAACCATTTTTTTTCCTTTTTCTTTTTTTTTTCTTTCTTTCTTTTTTAAATGAAAACACAACTGCCACTAAGTACAATCTAATAATTACCCATATTTTGATATATGTTTACTAAAACAACAACAACAACAACAAAGGAAGTGAACAGCATTGCCAAAAACATGTTATCAGTTTTGAATTCTTGAAAATCACTACACAGAAAAAAAGATAAAATAAGTAAGTAAATAAATAAATACAACAGCAAGTGGCATCTATCTCTAAAACTGAAAAAAAACTGTTTTAACAGTCTAACTTGCATCTCCCCTAAAGAATTCAGCAAACTCACACAACAAAAGCAATAAACTTGATGTACATCATGCTACTTTTGAAGGCCCTCATTATCTAGATTTATTGAATATATATGTACAGTACATTATACAACAGATATAACTAATATTCTTAATGAATTGTGTCAATGACTAAAATACATGTATTTGGACCATTAACACATGAGTACTTTTTATGCACACACTCTGCTCCCATTCAATCAGTCTTATATAAAGCCCAAGCTACACTTTATTTCTATCTACACACCTTGGCTGTGAACCAAAAGTTTTCCTAAAAAGGCCTAATAATTCCTAAAACTGGTCCTATATATGAGTCATATCAGGCCAAGATTAGCATTGTTTTCAGAAGGCAGCATACTCAGCATTAATCTATTTGTCTTTAAACTGAATGAAAAGAACTTTGTATCTATCAATGTTATATATATTTATAGCCTTCTTTCATTTGAATAAAACCAGATACCTTGTTTTTACACACTTTTTATCAAGACAATACCTACTGAACCAAACTGCTTTATAATGAAAATACCTAAATGTTTATTAATTCCAACATCTATATTATATCTCTTCCTATAAAAAGCTAATTTAACTCAAAGGAGTACTCATCTTTCTGAAAATAAAACTTACATTATCAAAATAGCAGTTTAACTTTTCAGGTGCTGCTTGCGAGAGGCAGTCAGTAACACTGCTTGTTTTATAATTGTAAGCATGATCAGCTCCAAGTTCCTTTAGCCAGGCCACCTTCTCATCTGATCCAGCAAAGGCAATCACTTTGCAGCCTGTGATAATGGGGGAGGGGGAGGATAGAAGATGATGTAAAATTTGTGATTATATCATTACAAATGATTATAAGAATACTTAACTGATAAATAGTCATTGGAGAAATTAAAAAACCTCCTTCGCAAACCTTTGTAAATTGCCTAATTCCTAAGTCAAATGACTCAAATCACACCAGGCAGACTATTCATAAAAACTTTACATCAATTCTTCAATACAGCTTTCTATATCAATAAATATGAACCAAAACACAATTATAGGTAACAGTATTTAACTTTCCAACCTTTCAATTTTGCAATCTGCACCACTGTACTGCCAACAGCTCCAGCCGCAGCATTTACGAGCACTGTCTCCCCTGCCTTTGGTTTGCACACCTCAAGCAATCCAAAATAGGCTGTATTTCTGTGAATATTTGGAGATATAAATTCTTTGATAAGAGAAATTCACTTTTATATTAATAACATATAAAATTAACTGCACTGATAAACTGTATATATGTTCATCTATGTAAACATGACAA